AGCGCTTATGAGAGAGAAGCGCTCCAGTTAGCGTAAGGTTTTTAGTCTTCGAGAGCTAACTATGGCCATCGAGGACTACGAAGCGCCCCGTGGCTGGCTTAAAAGTTCATTGCATGTCAGGAAGTATTTGTTATTGTTAGATTCAGACGAGGATGGACGTTGCATTGCTAAAATGGCTACAAAACGGACCTTTTGATGTCAAGCAGCTAAGACAAGAAGAGCTCTGATGCTGGAAGAGAGGGTAAAAGTGATCAAAATGAAAGACGGAGCAAGCAAAATAAAAGACATTTTCCAAGAAATTGATGTAAGTGAAAGTGAATGCTGATCGTAAATTTCGCAATTTCTTTCCCTTTTTTTCTTTCTACACTGACAATATGAAGTGTCAAATAAGTGTGTGCTCATACTTATGTACTATTGGAATAAAAATAGAGTACACAAACGTTTGTGTGTGCGTGTACACATACGTTTGTGTGTGTGGGTGTGTGTGTGCTTACATCTAAGATCAAATTTGCTACAGTGAAAAACCCCCTGTTGTGAAAAATTTCTTGCTGCAAACATGATTTCGTTGTAGAGGAGTTTCACTGTACTGAAAACGTATTTAGTTCATTTATAGTATTTTGTTGAACTCATAGAAATTAAACACATTTGAAGCTGTTTAGCTGTCAGCTACTACTTCTCTGCTTTTTAAGTATGTTTAAAGTTTTTGCCACAGTATTATTTCCTTTATTTGTCTTCTTTTAAGGTTATACAAAATAACTGACCTGTTTTGTCAGCCACTCCTTGTTGCAAGCAAAGTTCTTGTTACAGTAAAATATTTTGCAAATGTACCTTTAGTTACTGTCAATCTTTACATCATATGAAACTACAGCATGCCAACTAATACGACTATACATCAGCAAATATGGTCATGCAAAAAAGGGTGCGGCCAAATGAGAAAGTTGGTCCCACTAGTGCAGGGGCGAAAACCCAAAATGTTGAAAGAGCCATATTGGACCAAAAAAACGAAAAAGAAATGTGTCTGGAGCCGCAACAAATTAAAAGCCTTCGAAAGAAGGCAACACACGCTGTATGTATCTATATTAGCTAGATTAGCCTACTATCAAAATGACTACCGTATTTTCACGACCATTCGGCGCACCGTATTGTTGGGCGCAGTCTCAGTAACGGGTGCCATTTCTGTATTTGACACATACACAAAACGCACTGTATTATTGGGTGCAGCCAGGCATGGTAAAACATACGCCAGCTTAAACATACGGCATGCATGCATGCACGCACGCTAAAAACACGTTAGCTTGAAGCATACGGTAGCATGCATGAACGCTAAAACATACGAGGCATGTTAGCATAAAGCATACGGTAGCAGCTAAGACATACGGACACACGCTAAAAACACGTTTTTTAAAAGGCAACGGAAGCAAAACTGAGTTCGGTTGTACTTTATTTAGCCATTTTACAATGTACTCACGCGACTGGTACCTGCTAGGGGCGTGCCTTTAGCGTCCTCTTACACGCCCACCCTTCACTCATTGGCGACTGGTACCTGCTAGGGGTGTGCCTTTAGAGTCCTCTTACACGCCCACCCTTCACTCATTGGCGACTGGTACCTGCTAGGGACGTGCTTTTAGCGTCCTCTTACACGCCCACCCTTCACTCATTGGCGGACTTCCGCATGCCTCTCGTCACTCATGTCCACTTTTTCTCTGTATAAACAACGTGTCGGCCAGAAGTGCTCTCAGTCAGGCTTTGGAACTCTGCGCATACACTAGACGCTCCGCATTATAAGGCGTCCTGTCCATTTTGGAGAAAATTTAAGACTTTTAATGGTGCCTTATAGTCGTGAAAATCCGGTAAGTTGGCTCCAAATACACAATGAGCCTTCCTGATTAAACGTTTTTTTTCCCCCTGCAGTGCATCCTGTACAGCATGGGGGGCCCAATCTTTTTTGAACAAAGCTCTATTTTTTCGATCAACCAGCCTCCCGCGACCGACCCGTGACCTCACACGCACGCACTTACACACGCATGCGATAATGAGCAACAGCCATAACAGCCCCTGAGATGAACGAGGCACAGGACGCACTTTTCAGCGTGTTAACATTCATAGCTGACGTTACCATTGTAAAATGCTTCTCTCGGTCCTTCAGATTGCTATTCTTTGCCAGTTCCTCGGTGAATTGGACATGAAACGCTGTTCCTTCTTACAACAGCCACCTGCCTGACATCCCGCCCTGCTAATAGAAACGTGTGTCGCAGGCTATGACACAAATCTTCGTTGACGGAAATGTTGAAATGTAATATTTATTCGACACATTTTTACAGCATTGGAAATGTTATGTTTGTCCTCCTACAGAAACCATATTCAAACAAAAAATATATTTTCACTCCACCGTCTTTTTCCATTTTCAAATATTTTTAATAAGCTCCAGGGAGCCGCTAGGGAGTGCTAAAGAGCCACATGCGGCTCCAGAGCCGCGGGTTGCCAACCCCCGCACTAGTGCTACCAGTGCAAAAAGTAAGTGTCGAGCTCTGAAAACTATTCTTGGTGTTTCCATTTATTTTGGTTGTCCATAATCCCACTGAACCAAATGATGAACGGCAGTCAACACCGGGCATATTTCAGGAAGGTCAGAGGCACCCAAGTGCCACATCAGACCATTTAAAACAGTTTGCATCAGCGTGGTAGCTCTGCAAGGGTATTTGACCATACCACCAGGCACAGGCAAGATCTTACAACAAACAGGGAGCAGAAACACTGGACGAGGGACTGGTGGGCATCAGTGCTGTTTTCGAAAAATGTTGATTCACGCTGTCCAGAAATATGGGCTGCCAATGAGGTTGGAAAGGTCAAAGAGAGCGCGATATAGACAATAGCCTTTATGGTGGAATGTCCTAGTGTGGGGAGGTTTGTTGATTCAATGCAGAACTGCCCGACACTTTGCAAATGCTGTACAGTGAAAAGTCACAACTACCTTAACATGATTTAATATAGGTATTGTGCCACCGCGTAAACAACCCAGTTAGTTCAACTAAACATCGCTGAAGATATCTGAAAATGATGGTGACACCCTCCAAATCAACCTGCTGAAGCTTGAGAGGTACCTCAAAGGAAGAGGAATGCGTAAGACCACAAAACATCACAAAAGTGAAAGACAGTGATTTCTGTGGTTTGAATGATCGTTCTGCCACTGAATGGATCACACCTTATAAATAAAGCATCTTCAGTGTTCATTGGTTCTTTTCAGTACACATTAACACTGAGGCACTCGCCACGGGTTCGAGTAGTGATAGTATGTAGTTACTCAAATACTTATCCCTGTACTTCACTGATGGATAAAATTGTCACTTCTGAAAATGTACTTAACAAAATTTTCAAGAGTATTTTGAAAATGTCTGAGGCCAACTAGTTTAAATATTTAAATAACGATGAAAACTTTTTTTAAAAATCTCACTGGCAATGTGGTCTTTGTTTAATTCCCTATTCCCCAAATGCGAATGAATTTTTATGTGTTCTTCCACAGACCAACTGTATTTCCTGCTCCTTTTTGTTCAAGTCTAAATTAACTGGTGTCTTATTGGCAAAGATTTGCAGGCACTCCTGATATGGTTAGATGATCAGGAAGTATGCAGGTTCGCAATTGTGTCACGACAGTCATGTGTAATGGACTAAACGCCTAAACTCCGTTTTAGAGCGGGACGAGCTCTTTAACAACAAATACCCCCCCCCCCCCCCCCGCCCCAGTAGGCTGTGTCATGACGACACCTGGCCTGTACCATACATGCCTTGCGATAACTTTTAAGTTTCTCATTGTGTTTTCACCACGTCTTTCTTACGTCACATGTCACCACGGTACATCACATTAACTTACAAAAGAGACATCGTCCAAACAAATGTTCGGACATGTTCAGCGGTCAGTGGTTTTGAAACTCGTCAACTCGAATGGAAACACCGAACGGCTATGACAGTACATACGCCGCTTCAAAGTGCCGTGTGGTGACTCGGCATAAACAGCTAACGCCACCGCTGTTGGGGAATTAAATAAAACTCACCTTTGAGGGACGTTTCTACAAGGCGCAGATACTGTTTTGACCGTTTGTTCCCATGGCTCATCTTTTGGGCCATTCCGTTCCTTTGTAGCACACACTCTTCTAGTTGGACAACATTTTGGTGGCGTTTCTCCAGGCTTGTTAGTGCCCAGAACTCTTGGAGAGCGAGTTCAACGTTTTCCGGTGCGTCGCACCGTAGCTTCTTCACGGCTACCCTGGCACCGGACTTCCGGGCCACCGCTTCGTACACGACACCATATGTACCCCTCCCAATTTCACGGAGCAGGCTGTAGCGCGGGGTCATGACCTTTCTCTCCAAGTCGTCCTGCTTGAAGAAGTCAAGGTTTTCCTCCATCTCATGATCGTCTCCTGCGTTGGCCTCGCTCAGGCATCGGAGCACGGCGGACTCGTCACCTCGCCCTCCTGTTAGCTTGTAGCTGGCTCTCAAGCTCCTCGTGTGTCTCCTCCAGTTGCCGCAAACTGTGCTCATCGTGACTCCCCTGGTTTAAACATCAAAAACGAATGTGTCCGCATGGTTTCACCGACGACAGTATCAATGCCACTACTCATTTGTGTTTTGAACGATCGAAACAGAAAATAAACTGGCCGAGTGGCACAGTGGGAAGGAAAATAACAGTCAAAGCCGATATATCTGAAAAGACTTCCGCTTTCGTGTCTATTAAAATAAAAGCTTGTGCGTTTGAAGTCCGGTGATTGACGAATATTTCGTGTAGTTATTAAATTAAGAGAACCATTCCCACCTATTTTTGTTACATTGCATCCTCGTTCATAACAGTGTCAACAATATTAATAGACTATACATAACACTATATAAACTGTTATTTAGTCGCATTTTCATCTATTTTGACGTAATGGAATGCCCTATGTGGTTCGAGAGTTAAAAGAATGCCCATTCATTCAAGAGCTACTGTCGGCCACAGTTCACACACAGTCCATCTGACGTTTTATCACGTTTTCAATTAACGTAATCACTGGAATCTCATTGTGCCTGTGCTCTTTTCGGGATTCTTTTCTCATGTCCCATAGACTTAAAGGCAACCTTCGAGCTTAAATGTCACGCCTGCCCTTTTATCTGAAAAGTCTTTTATGTTCTTCTGCCCCTTGGCTCTCCGGGGCACTCCGCATTCACATCAAAGCAAATAAAGAGAAACGTTTAACTTTGCTTACTACAGCTATTTAGGAGCATTCTCTCAATGCATCGCTACAATACAGTAACTTAATTTCCATGCTGTCCCTCAAACATACAGGACGCACGACCAGTGGCGGGCCGTGCATTTCAACCTTAGGCCTTCAGTAACGTCACATACATACACAATATAGGCTCGTCAAGCAGCACTTAATTTCAGGAGCATTTAAAACCATCAAGTATGCATTCACAATTAAGAGCAGGAAACTAAATTTACAGATAGTCAAAAATAAAAAGATGATTTAAAAATACGAAATAAAATGCCACCCAAATTACGCTGTGTGATCTTAAACAAGTCTGTCCAATAAATTGCGCAATGTCGCAGTTTCATATAAGACACCAACCAAACAATAACAAAACAAACTATTCTTTTAAAATAAACAGAACATTTGCATTTTGAAAATCGGCGATTCAACAGCAAATAACTGAAAATGTTGAGCAGCTGAGATTGAACGAACTTTCGTGCACGAAGGTGACTACAATGCGCCATTATAAATTGCAGGTGAGCAGATTTATTTGATACACGTTTGTCATTTTATTTCGTTACCATGAATTTAATACTAACGAAATAAAATGACAAGAAGAAATGTAAAATAAAATTCATTGACTCACCAATGTAGGTCTCCACAGCGTCTGCTTATTTGAAAATAAATAAAATCATCCTTTCTTTTCTCAGGAACACTTCAGTGGCTCTGTTGTACAGTTTTCAGGTCCATTAGCAAGTCCTTTTC